CGCGGCTCCCCTTTGGAGAGCTGGAAGGAAGAGCGGACCCGGAGCGAGGAGGACAACGAGCTGAACCTGCCGGGCCTGGCCGCCGCCTACGCCACCATCCTGCGCGCCCTGGGCGAGGACCCGCAGCGCCCGGGGCTGCTCAAGACCCCGTGGCGGGCCGCCACCGCCATGCAGTTCTTCACCAAGGGCTACCAGGAGACCATCACAGGTGGGGCGCGCCCCCCCCCGGTGGGGTCGGGTGGGGTGGAGAGAGGGAGAGGGCGCCCCCTCGCGGTGTTCGGGGAGGCGTGGGGAAACCTGGCCCCTTTCACAACCGCCCCGCGAGGTAGGCTTGGAGAGCCATCAGCCCGAGAAGGAGGAGGACCCGCCGGCTTGGCGCGAGGGATCTGGCAGGCGGAGGGGGAAAGAGGCCGCCCGGGCGCACCTCCTGCTCTCCCTTGCAAGCGCTGGGGATTGGGAGAAGAGTGACCGATGGGGATGGCGATGGGCTCAGGCGGCCTTCGGGGCTGGCGGCGTGGGGTCCCCTCCCCGCTCGTGGGAACGCGCGCCTGGGCGGGTGATCTCCTTGGCCTGGCGCGCCCTCGCCCTGGACGGCCCGCTTCCCCCTCGGTTGGAGGCAGATCCGGGGTGGTGGAAAGAGGAGAGAGCGGCTTCTCTTCGGCACGCGGGTCTTTCGGCCCCGTTAAGATCTTGGCGTGTAAGAGTCTCAGGCGGGACACGGAAGATGCAGCTGCGAAAGGGACCGTCCCCGCTTCCCGTGCGCCCGGCCGGGGACCGTGAAAGCGTTTCGGAGGCACCACTTTTCTTTAAAGCCTTTCCCACGTGTTGGTTTTCATAAGTGAACGAAGGGAGCGCTTAGTACGGGGCTAATGCAGCCTGGAATGCTGACTATGGACGAGGAAGTCACCTGTAGAGATTTAATCCTTTTTAAAGACTCTGTCCAACTTCCTTCCTCTTTTTTCTTTTTCCTCCTTCTTTCCTTTCCCTTTCTTTCTTTTCCTTCCTTCCTCTTTCTTTCTTTCTTTTCCTTCCTTCCTTCCTTCCTTCCTTCCTT